GCAACTCGTGTGAAAAGGGCACAACTGTCTCGGCGTGGCCCGTGCATCGTTTTCGCCGCGCTCGTCCGAAAGTTGACCCCCCCGCGAACGTGGGGATATCAAGATGTACAAAAACCGCTACTCCCCAGACCTCCCTCGGGCCGGGCGAAAGGGGGGGATAGCAAAGGGGGGGGGTGAGAATCAGCTCACGTAGCTGATTTTCTCGGCGCCTGCCGGCGCCGGAGGCGGCCATGTATCGAGGAATGGGCCCCTCGGTGAGGCCGAAACCAGCTGCATGCAGCAGATATCGTAACCCCCCCTTTCCCTATCCCCTCCCTTCGTCCGGCCCGACTCTCCCCGGGCGCGCTCTGGCCAGGATTTCGAGGCGAGCCCAGCGGTGCCCTGATCTCTAACATCTTGTGTGGCGGTGCGCTCGGCCACCAGCTGGCGGACCAGCGCCACGATTTTCCAATCATCCTGCTGCGTTGAGGGGAGAGTCCTGCTCTGTCAGACGTGCGGTGGCTCTTGCACTGTGAGTCCTCCCCGCGTTCGCAAAGGTGGCGACCCGTCCCGAGGTCCACGTGCCTCGGCGGGTAAGGAGGCTCTTTCGCGGCTCCCGAGGGGCCTGCCCCCCAAAGTCGGGCGGTGTCTTCCCCGATGTGCGCTGATTGCTTGATGTGTGCTCTGTCTATGGCAGGAGCCCTGTGCTTCATAGACTTAGAACCAGAATTAGAATTGGAACCTCCTCCTCCTCCTCCTCCTCCTCCTCCTCCTCCTCCTCCGGCGGACCGGGGGTCTGAGGCTCTGTCAACTAGTTCCAGCGCAGCCCCCCAGCGCACGGCAGCGGCCACCAGGGAGCAGCCGCCGCCCAGTGCCAGGCCAGACTGCCAGGTCACCAAGCAGCGGCCGCCCGAGGGGGGCAGGAGTTGCGTCTCCTCCTCCTCCTCCTCCTCCTCCTCCTCCTCATCCTCCTCATCATCATCATCATCATCATCATCATCATCATCCTCCTTCTCCTTCTCCTGCTCATTACTCCAGCCCTTTTCACAATAAAGCCGCCATCGTGCCGCTGGCACGAAGCGGAGTTCCCCAAGGCTCACAGCTGCGCTGCTGCTGCAGCCAGGACTGTAGCTTCGGAAGGGCCTGGATCCTTCTCCTCCTCCGCCTCTTCCTCCTCCTCCTCCTTCTCCTCCCTTTCATTTCCTCCTCCTCCTCCTCCTCCTCCTCGTCCTCCTCGTCCTCCTCCTCCTTCTGGCAAACCCTCTAGGAGACGCACGAGAGAGAGGCCGCGCTTCCTCGACCGCGGTGCGGACCATGCCCGTGCCGCAGCGCTCGCGCAGCTCCCACTCGTCGGGGCACCACTCGGCCTGGGCCGGCCGGGCGAGGCGCACTTCTCCTCCTCATCGTCGTCGTCGTCGTCTTCGTCGTTGTCGTGCTGCTGCTGCTGCTGCTGCTGCCGCTGCCGCTGCCGCTGCTCCTGCTGCTGCAGCCGCGACCCCGGCACCCATTCCTGTTTAGGCGTGTAGGGGCGCAGTGCACACCCCAACGGCCTGCGGGCAACGGCCCCTTACCCAGGCCGGAGGGAAGGGTGAGAAAAAGCGAGAGCTGCTACTACTGCTGCTGCTGCTGCTGCTGCTGCTGCTGCTGCTGCTGCTGCTGCTGCTCCTGCTGCTCCTCCTCCTCCTCCTCCTTCCTCCTTCCTCCTCCTCCTCCTCCTTCCTTCTCCTCCTCCTCAATCCTCCTCCTCCTACACCTCCTCCTCCTCCTCCTCCTTCTCCTCCTCCTTCTCCTCCTCCTCCTCCTCCTCCTCCTCCTCATCCACCTCCTTCTCGTCCTCCTCCTCGTCGCACTCCTCCGCATCATCAGCCCGCTCATGGTCCTCCTCTTCCTCCACCTCCTCCTCCTCCTCCTCCTCCTCCTCCTCCTCCTTTTCCTCCTCCTCCTCCTCCTCCTCCTCCTCCTCCTCCTCCTCCTCCTCCTCCTCCTACTCCTTCACCTCCTCCTGCTCCTTCACCTCCTCCTCCTACTCCTCCTGGGCTTCACGTCCTCCTCGTCTCCGTCGTCATCGTCGCCCTGCTCCTCCTGCTCCTCCTGCTCCTTCTGCTCCTCCTTCTCCTCCTGCTTCTTCTCCTCCTCCTCCTCCTCCTCCTCCTCCTCCTTCTCCTCCTCCTCGAAGAATGGGGCAAAGGGCGCCCAATGCGGCGAGTGCTCCCGCAAGTTGTACGGGCCCCGCCGACAACCTGCAAAAGCGTGCGTCGGCAGTCCGAAGTGAGCGACGAAGAGAAACTGGTCTTGCACGAGACGGCACGGCGACCTCACGCGGTGGCGTACACTGTACCCGTGGGCGGGTCACGCCGATGATCTGCAGCGCGTGCGTCGGCAACCCGACCGAAGCGAGCGACGAATGGAAACGGGTCTTGCGCGAGCTGGCACGGCGACCTCACGCGGTGGCGTGCGCGGGCCGCCGGCGCGGCACGCCACGTTGGAGACGGGGGCGCTCACGCGCGACCTCACGCGGGCAGCGCGCGCGCCGATGTCGATGAAGACGGCCCTGCTCTTGCCGCGGCGCTCAAGGGGTGTCGATGCGAGTGCCGACCAGAAGCAACGTAGGCTTGGTGGCTAGGAGTAACCCCAGCTGCAGTCCGTGCGGCGCAATTGGTTTCTCTCCCCTTCTGCTCCTCCTCCGTCATCCGCCTCCCTGTCGCGAACAGAAAACGGTTGTACGATGTACTCCCTGACCCCGTACATGGGACAAGGCCCAAGCCGTGGCCTGCATTGTAATTGCGCGCAGGCCGACGGCTGCGCACGTTGCGAAGCCAGCGCTGCCACTGCGTGGGACCTGGCGTTCGATCCCGAGATGCCCCAACGAGTTCCATCCTTCTAATGCTCCTCCTCAACCCTGTCCTCCGCCTTGACCTCCACCTCTTCCTCCTCCTCCTCCTCGTCCTCCTCCTCCTCCTCCTCCTCTTCCTCCTCCTCTTCCTCCTCCTCTTCCTCCTCCTCCGCCTCGTCGTCGTCCTCCTCCTCCTCGTCCTCCTCCTCGTCGTCCTCCTCTTCGTCCTCCTCCCTCTGCTAGTCCTCGATCTCCTCTTTCCATCCTCTTCCCCGAGGGGGGCGGAGATGAGGCGAAGGAGGGACGAGCAGAAAAGGGGGTGAAATAGGGATGAGCCGGCAGAGGGAGGCCCAGGAGGCAGGCGAAGGAGGAGGAGGAGGAGGAGGAGAAGGAGGATGAGGAGGAGGAGGATGAGGAGGAGGAGGAGGTGGAGGTGGAGCAGGAGGAGGAGGAGGAGGGGGAGGGGGAAGAGGCGGAGGAGGATGAGGAGGATGAGTAGAATGAGGAGGATAAAGAAAGGAGGAGGAGAGGAGGAGGAGAGGAGGAGGAGGAAGGAGGAGAGGGGAGGAGGAGGAGGGGAGGAGAGAAGAGCAGAAAGGGGAGAGGCGAGGAGGACAAACGAGGCGGAGGAGAAAGAGGAGGATGAGGAGGAGGAGGAGGAGGAGGAGGAAGAGGCGAAGAAGGAGGAGGAGGGAGTCCTTCCTACTCCTTCCCGCGCGCTCGCCATCGAACGGCTCGGGCTCGACGCCCGAGCCAGGCTCTGGAACAACTGGCGAAAAAGAAATGGGTGCAGGACGGAGTCCTCGCCCATCCTCCCAGCTGCTGTTGCTGCTGCTGATGATGATCCTCCTCCTCCTCCTCCTCCTCCTCCTCCTCCTCGATCCTCCTTCTCCTGCATAACCATCCGCCTCCTCCCTGTCCTCCTCATGCTCGCCTTCCCCCCCTCGTCCTCGTCCTTGGGGGATGGGTGGGGCAGCCACCGTGTTCTGTCGACCTCCCGCCCCCCCGGCCGCGTAGAAGCAGAAGTGGTGCACCCTGCGAAGGTACAGCACCCGCAGGTCCAGCTTGGCCTCCTCCGAGCACGAGCGGCAGTGAGAGGCAGACATCCTCCTCCCCTTTTGCCCCCCGCCCGTCAATACCCCTCTCGCCCTGACCATCATCCTTCTCCTCCAGCTTCTCCTCCTGCCCGAACGCCCGCATGCCCAGTATCGCCATGGATCACGCTCCCAGCCGCCCCATCCGCGCTCCTGGTCACGTATGACGTATGACCCTTCTCCTCCTCAGAATGTGGCTCCTCCTTCTCCTCCGCCTCTTCCTCATCCTTCTCCTCCTCCGCATCAGCATCATCAGCATCATCATTGAAAGCACGATCATCATTGTCATCACCATCATCGTCATCATCATCAGCAGCAGCATCATCAGCAACGTCATCATCATCAGCATCAGCTTTATCATCATCATCAATACCATCACCACCACCATCAGCATCATCATCATCGTCATCATCATCATCATCATCATCATCATCATCATCATCATCATCATCATCATCAACACCATCAACACCATCATCATCGTCGTCATCAACATGACCATCATCCGCAGCATCATCAGCAACAGCATCATCATCAGCATCAACACCAGCAACATCATCAGCATCATCATCCGCATCATCAACACCATGCGCATGATCATCGTCATCATCATCATCACCATCATCATCGTCATCGGCATCGTCAACATCAGCATCATCATCATCATCAGCAGCATCATCGTTGGCATCATCCTCCTCCCCATCATCAACGTCGTCCTCATCAACATCACAATTATCAGCATCATCAAAACCAGCATCACCACCATCAGCATCATCAGCAGCAGCCTTATCATCATCAACATCAGCATCAACACCAGCTTCATCATCATCATCATCAGCATCAGCATCATCATCATCATCATCATCATCATCATCATCATCATCATCATCATCATCATCATCATCATCATCGCCATCATCAATATAAGCATCATCATCATCCGCGTCACCATAATCGTCATCGTCATCAGCACCACCGCAATCGTCATCATCAGCGTCGTCCTCATCCTCATCACACTCACCAGCACCGCAACCATCACCATGCTCATCATGTACATTATCATCATCATCATCACCATCATCAGCATCATCGCCGCCATCATCAACAGTATCATCACTATCATCAGTAGCATCGTCATCCGCAGCATCATCGTCAGCGTCGTCCTCCTGCGCCTCATCATGATTCTCATCCTCGTCCTCATCACCATCACCACCACCACCATCATCAGCATCATTTTCAGCATCAAAATCATCAGCACCAGCATCATCACTATCGTTATCAGCAGCACCGTCATCATCATCGTCATCATCAGCATCATCATCACTGCCATCATCAGCCTCATCACCATCATCAGCATCACCATCATCATCAGCATCGTCTTCTTCACCATCACCATCATCAACAACAGCAGCATCCGCAGCACCTTCGTCATTGTCATTATCATCCTCATCACAGTCATTAGCATCATCATCATCGCCACCATCATCAGCAGCAGCATCATCGTCAACCTCATCAGCGTCAGCACCATCATCATCAGCAGCAGCATCATCAGCAGCAGCACCATCATCATCTGTTCACCTCCCTCCATCTTCGCCTCCGTTGTCGCTGCCCTCCTCCTCGCCCTCCCCCTCCTCCTACACTCCTCCTCCTCCTCCTTCTCCTCCTCCACCCCTCTTCTGCTGCTCCTGCTCTGCTCCTGCTGCTCCTCCTCCTCCTCCCCTCCTCCTCCCCCTCCACCTCCTCCTCCTCCCTCCTCCTCCTCCCTTCTCTCCTCCTTCCCTCGACTGGCCTCCCTCCTTCTCCCCCTCCTCCTCCTCCTCCTCCTCCTCCTCCTCCCTCCTCCTCCACCTCCCTCCTCATCCCTCCCCTTTTCCTCCTCCTTCCGCTCCCCTCGCCTCATCCTCGCTTCCCCCCTACATCCCCTCCCTTAACCACCCCATTCTCCTCCTCTCCTTTCTATCCTCCTCTCCCCTCTCCTCCTCCTCCTCCACCTCCTCCTCCTCCTCCTCCTCCTCCTCCTCCACCTCCCTCCTCCTCCTCCTCCTCCTCCTCTCCTCCTCCTCCCCTCCACCGCCCCCCTCCCCTCCTCCTCGCCTCCTCCTCCTCCTCCTCCGCCTCCTCCTCCTCAGTCCTCCTCCTCTTCGTCCCCTCCTCCTTTTCCTCCTCCTCCTCCTGTTCCGCCTCCCCCTCCCCATCCTCACCCTGCCCCTCCTCATTTTCTTCGCGGCGCTGCGGCCGCCGCTGCGGTGCACCGCCTGGACGCAGGGCCGCCGACAGCAGCGGGACCCGCTGGGCCCCGGGACTCAGCCGTGCCACGACACGGCCCTGGGCCCAGGGAGAGGACCTGGACTTACGGGGGCCGCGCGTAAAACAGATCAATCTCCGCCGCGTGACGCCTCGGCTTGCCGCGTTAGTCGTAGCCTGTAGCCTTTTCGCGCCGCCTCTGCCTAATCAGTCTCTGCGTAGCCCGCTTGGACCTGACCCGCCGCCGGCGCGCTCGCCCGCGGCCGCTGACAAAAAAGTATCCCCACCAGCCAGCTTTTGGTAATTCGTCTTTGCGCGGCCCGCCCTGACTCGACTCGCCGTTTGCGCTTTCGCTTGCGGCTGCCTGCTAAAAAGTAAAACAGATCAAGCCATCGCATGCCCGGGGGCGGAGCAGGGCACCGCTGAAGCAGGCGGGGGCCCCCTGCACCTCCACTCGAGGGCGTGCAGGATTAGGAAGCAGCCCGCGGGAGGTCTCCGCAGGAGGTAGGCCAGACGAAGGGGCCACTGATCGCGACCAGGCCAGATTGAGCCCGGGATATGCCAGGCCGCGTGGGACTCAACCGGATCAGACGGGACAAAGCCATCGGGATGGTGCCGGATTGCATCAGCAAGCCCCGAGCATGCCAGCGCCGATGCTGAATTCGACCTCGCAGGAGTTGTGTCCTGACCAAGACGGGGCCGTCCAAGAGAGGAGCGTTAGTCATATCCCGAGGCACGTGTGCGGCCTGGGGGGGCGCCTGTGTGTGTGTGTGTGGGTGCGTGCGTGCGTGCGTGCGTGCGTGCGTGCGTGCGTGCGTGCGCGTGCGCGTGCGCGCGCGCGTGTGCGCGCGTGTGTGTGTGTGTGTGTGTGCGTGTGTGTATGTGCGTGTGTGTGTGTGTGTGTGTGTGTTCGTGCGTGCGTGCGTGCGTGCGTGCGTGCGTACGTGCGTGCTTGAGTGCGTGCGTGCGTGCGTGCGTGCGTGCGTGCGCGCGTGGGTGCGTGCGTGCGTGCGTGCGTGGTGCGTGCGTGCGTGGGGGGGGGGGGGGGCGTGCGTGTCGTCTGTGTGCGTGCTGCGTGCGTGTGTGTGGTGTGTCCTGTGGGGGGGGATGTGCGTGTGGGTGAATGCGGCGTGTTGAGTGTGTGTGTGGTGTGTGTGTGTGTGTGTGTGTGTGTGTTGTGTGTGTGTGTGTGTTGTGTGTGTGTGTGTGTGTGTGTGGGTGTGTGTGTGTGTGTGTGGTGTTGTGGTGTGTGTTGTGTGTGTGTGTGTGTTGTTGTGTGTGTGTGTGGTGTGGTTGTGTGTGTGTGTGTGTGAGTGTGTGATGTGTGTGTGTGTGTGTTGGTGAGGTGTGTGTGTGTGTGTGTGTGTGTGTGTGTGGTTGTGTGTGGTTGTTGTGTGTGTGGGTGTTGTGTGTGGTGTGTGTGTGAGTGGGTGTGTGTGGTGTGTGTTTGTGTAAGTGTCCTTGAGTGAAGTTCATTGATTGTAGGCGTGTGTGGTGTGGGTTTGAGTGTGCGAGTGTGTCTTGTGGTTGAGTATTGACCAAACCCCCTACCGAGGGCGGGGACTCTGACATCCGGAGAGATCATGGCCCTGGCAATGATTTCCCTCCCCTCCCCCCCCGGTTCACGGGTCGTCGACGCGGCCGTCGCCGTGCTCCTCCCGCCTACGCGCCCAATTTCGAAGCTCTCCAAGGCCTCCGGGGGCTTTCCGATGCCCCCTCCCCCCCCTCCCGGACCGAGCTCGTCCGCTCGACCGAGCCACCCTTTTGTCCTCTGGCCCACCCTCCTCCTCCTCCTCCTCCTCCTCCTGCCACCTCCTCCTCCTCCTCCTCCTCCTCCTCCTCCTCCTCCTCCTCCTCCTCCTCCTCCTCCTCCTCCTCCTCCTCCTCCTCGGTCGGTCGGATTCTGCAGCGGTGAGTCCCATGATCGGGGCCGCCGAAACCAGGGCGCGCCGCGCGCGCCGCCGCGGCCGGGCGCCCGCGGGCGCGGCCGGGCCGCGGGGCGCTCACGGCGCGGGCGGGCCCCCCGCAAGCGGGCAGCACGGGGATGGCAGGGCCAGCTCCCCCGCCACGTTTTGTCGGACGGACAACACCCCAGCCGGAAACACCCGACCCCCGACAGAACGGACAGGGGCCAGGCCCCACCAATCTACACCACCCACCCCAGGGGCCCGCCACGACACGACAGACGACGACGGCACGACACGACACGACACGACGGGGGACGAAACGGCCACGACACGACACGCACGACACGACACGGACGGACGACACGACGAAGACGAGCCGCCGGTCCCGCCCCAGGGCGGCGAGTGCTGGAGGGGGGACCCAGCACCGCCCTAGGGGAGGCCACGGGACCTGGCGACCCCCCCCGGGGAAGGAAACCGCACTTTGGCGGCGTCCCCCGGGGTGCGGGGGCTTTTCGCCCCGAGGGCCCGGCGGTCCCCGCCTCCGCCAGGGTCCGAAGCCCGACCCTCCTCCTCCTCCTCCTCCTCCTCC